TTCAATAGATAAAGATATTGTAATTGAAACTATTTATTTAGCAATTCTACAAATTTATGCTTCACCTACTCTATGATATTTTGAATGATTTCCCGAATATCTTTTAGCCAATCTTGGATCATTATATTGAGGATATGTGTGCAATCTCACAAAAAAAATCATAAAAATACAACTTTTTCTGTGATTGAGAATTTATTTTTAATGAGCTAGCTGACATATCATTATTATTTGCATTATTTAAAGGAAATGTAAAGACTTTATTGTGGAACTTTCACTCTAACAAATATTCATAAATAACATCACATATGTAAGTGTCAGTATGTGGATACCCTAACTCAATAAAATTGAAAATTACTTTCCTTACATTTCATGTTTCATCGATATATGAACAGTTGAGCATATATATCATATGGTTTGATTATAGATCAAATAATCAGCTGTTAGTGACACTTTATGAACATCTTTAAGACAACATTATGTTTTTCATTCTCACACTCAAACTTTCATGCAATCATTTTTTATGATGTTCTTTGAAACACTCTCAAAATTAGGATAAAACTTTTTTCAATAATATAATGAACGAAACATGTTTAACTATCATGAATAGATACTCATGTACAATTATCATTTTGACAATTACATCTCTTAAGAGTTGTTGATCATAATTTTTAGAATCATAGAATTTAAGAAACTCTGAGTCAGTATCAGTTTCAAAGGGCGAAAAGTTCAACCTTTTATCTTTTATCTGATAAGTCATTAGTTGAACTCTTTTTTTCTTGTCACATTCCTTAGTGTGTCTGAGAAGTTGTGCAATGTTTTTAGTTTGTGGATTTTTTCCTCACAAAAATGCATTGGACAAAAAAACTTCGACATAGTTGACATTCGCTTTCTACTTTTTTTGGCTTGCATGTCAGTACTAGTACTTCCAGCAACCACTTCAACATATTGAGAAATAATATGATAACTATCATTTTCATTTTGTATGATGACTGATAATTGATCACTAACTTATGCAGATTGAGATTGTTCATATGTTGATATTGCAAATAATTAAACATAAAAACATAATATAACATGATGTATTATTTATGCATGTGTCTAAAATTCGCATTAGAACACATAAACGTATGTAATGTCAAGTTCATATATAGCTAAATATATGATAAAAATATCTTCACATTATTGAAGAGAATTAAAAATAATAATAATAAATGTCTACTATGATAAAACATCTCAATAAGACAAATTCACCAGCATGGTAATATCTATAAGTGCATATATTAATATGGTTCATGTATGTTGTATGCCTCCTAAGTCTAAATAGACAAAAGAAGAAAATCTTCAAGAAATGAACATTGATGGTCTGCATATAAAAGTGAACATGTCTGAGCCAAACTGAATACCAAAATTTATCAAATACAATTTCACCCAAACTAAAATTTTAATAAGTGTATAATTGAACTAAGCATCTCCATGAAACAAATCCACCAACATCGAAAGTGAATCGATCCAACTTCTGAACATAAATGATCCATACAAGTACTTGAAGCATAACCAAAAACTGTGATACACAACTTCACTTATACCCTAATCAAAGAATAAACAAATCACAGTCGTATCCTAGCCCCTAATGGGGATAATATCTTCTCAGATAATAAAGATGAGGAACAAGAAATGATCCATACAAGTACTTGAAGCATAACCAAAAACTGTGATACACAACTTCACTTATACCCTAATCAAAGAATAAACAAATCACAGTCGTATCCTAGCCCCTAATGGGGATAATATCTTCTCAGATAATAAAGATGAGGAACAAGAAATGATCCATACAAGTACTTGAAGCATAACCAAAAACTGTGATACACAACTTCACTGTCTTAAACCAAACTAAAGCATCTTATGCTCACTTATATGAAAAATTGAAAATGAAGCAGCAAACTAAATAACCAAATCAACACAAATATTTAGAAAATATAATATCACTATGATAAACCCAAATAGGACTTCCTGTCGTTGGTATACCGAAGTATCAAACCCTAATCGAAGAATAAACAAATCACAATCGTATCCTAGCCCCTAATGGGGATAATATCTTCTCAGATAATAAAGACGAGGGACAAGAAAAAAGCTAGTAAGGGAACTATCACAATAATAACTAAATGAGAGGAGAGATTCAAAATTCTGTGTAGAAAAAGTTCACAGAGGTGAGCCACGACGCACAAGCAACAAATGAGAGAGAATGAGAGACGACTATCCTTTACCGACAAAAGGGGCGAAGGAAATTTTATAATTCGAACAATAACGAGCTGCACATAGGTCTATTTGTGTTCAAATCGCTTATAAACCGAGCTCAATAAACTTGTTCGTGTTTGGCTTGTTCGCTTATTGAATGAATCAAACACGAGCTTCTTAGTGAGCCAAACAGGAGTTATTCGCGAACGACGAGCTTTTTTGACATCCTTAGTGCTAATTAAACAACTAGAACTTCCACTGACTTGTTTCAAGTGTCTGGAAGGTTTATGCCATCAAAATTTAGCCTTGGATTAATCTCTTGATAATTTACTGAGCGAGGTGGTGAGCTAAGTATGTAATTAATAATGAGCCTTTGATATTTGAGCGAAGTGGTGAGCTAAGTATGTAATTAATAATGAGCCTTTGATATTTGATGATGATCGTGTTTTCCATGAAAGTCCCACAATTTTTTATTGTGAGATGCATTTTCACGCCCCCAACCATTATTGAGGATTTGAAATGCATTCTTATCTTCCTAATTTAAGAAATTTCGAATGATAAGAGGTGTAAAAATGCATTTTTATCTTCCTAATTTAAGAAATTTAAAATGATAAGAGGTGTAAATTAGCATTGTCGGCGATCCTCTCCTCTGTTGTCATATTCACCGAAAGTCACCTCTGGCTTTATGACATGAATGTAATTCATTATGGACTACATAGAACTTATGCTTTTGAAGTTCAAAGGGTACTTTATTTACTTATATTTTATTAAGATTATGTAGTCTATGTAAAAAATACACAATAAAATATTTGATATATGTACAACTTTTGTCCAAAGCCTTAATTTTAGACTGCAACTTTTCATTCAACTCTTTGTGATTTCACTAAACAATCTAGAGTGTCGGCCCAAGCTTCTACCATGACACATTACATTTTAATGTTTACTATTTGTGGTTGAAAGGCCTTTCAAAATATCATCAATGAGCTCCTCATTCTTTTCTTTTTGGTTAAACATGAGATTTCTTCTTTGGTTTCTGAAAATTATATATATTTGGGTTGTGGCCCTGGTAGAATTTCAAGCATCCCACCATTGATTTTATACTATGCTCACCACTACCAAAATTTTCATACTATAGGATTAATCTATCATTTGCTTGTTGAGCTCAAATATAAGGTTGATCGGACAACATAGAAATGGTTATGCAGAAAAGTCAACCCTTTTGTTGTCCTTGCATTAATGATGCTAAATAAAGATAGTTCTTGTATGGTGACTGTTAATAGTGACGCAATACATAAAATCAATCTAATGGACAAATTTTTTATGCATAGACTAATGACATGCTTGACATGATATCTGAGTCGTTGTACTCTTCAAAACTTACTTTATGTAGTGAATTTACATATTTGGATTTATTATGGGGAAGAATGAAGATTGACATTTAAGGGGTATGATAAGTTATATGAATGTTCTATAGTACCTTTTTTATTGTCTAATATGCATGTTGCTTTTATAAATTGATAAATAAGTGTTTTATTCATTCATTGGTAAGTTTTTGGTTGTGTTCTTTGATATCATCTTAATTTACATCTCAAAGTACCATCTAAATTAAGGGATGAAAAGTTGCATGTTAATCTTAAAATGTGCAATTTTTATTTTTTTGTTAAAGGCAATATTTTTTTGGGGGTGTTTTTTATCTTGTCACATTCCTCGACGTTCTTATAAATCCCTTAAAATATAAAATCAAAGCCTCGCTTCTATTTTTAATGCTAGAGGCTTCCATGGGCTAGCTATATTTTATAGGTGGTTTGTTATGATTATTAGTATCTTTATCACCATTTCGATAGATCTTTAAAAAATTTAAGTTTAGGTGGTTATCACTTGTTGTTAAAGCCTTTGAACAAATAATGGTATGAATGACTACATTACAAAATTTTAGATTCTCTTATTTTATGGTTGTTTTTGAGGTATTTTATAATGCCTTTTGTTTGGCATACATGGTGTTCTTAATCAAGATGATTACATTAAGGCTAAACAAAGGTGATTAATTTATGATAGAGAATTTATGCTTTCATTGAAGCTTTAATGTGTTGATGACAGCCATATTGTTGCTTACTTTAGTGCGTGATTGAATGGAGCTAAACAAATGCATTCTACTTATCATAAGAAATTTATGCTTTAATTAAGACTTTAAGATATTGGCAATATTATTTTCCACCAAATAAATTCGTTTGCATTTTTTATTAATTGGCTTTAAAATATATAAATTCCAAAAAAAATATGTGTGTGTTTATATATTAAGTTTATTGAATACCTTTAGGATTACAACATTATTCTGAAGCATACACCTTTCATTAAAAATAAACTCATCGTTGCGCCATCCTTGGTTTTCTTAGCCTCTATACCCATTAATGTGCCTAGTTTTGAAAGAATTCGAGACTAGCCTATGTCATGGCCTTCCTTACTCTCGATTTATCACAATTACAAATATGTCATATTTCTCTTCTGCGACTTTTATGGTTTCAGATAGATATCTATATAAAGCTGGGGTAGGTTTTGCGTTAGGGTCAATATTTGTGATTATATTGTTTGGGAAATGCATGCCAGTGGCTTTACTAGCTCTAAATTTATTCTCTTGAATAAATTTGTAGGCTTTTCATGTACTCATTTCTGCGATTTTTCTGAGTGTTTTGTGGTTTATTTTTTTGTGATATCACATTTTGTTCTTATAATTGGAAAGCGCTTGTTTGTTTCTTTTTGTACTGAAGGTACACTGAGGATATGGAGCTTGATGATGCTGTTCATACTGCTATTTTGACCTTGAAAGAAGGGTATGTTATTTCTTGTAATCCGTGATATTAACAAGAACTTGCTTCTCCCTTGGCAATAATGTGATGGTTTCTGCTGCCATTTTGTAGTTTTGAAGGCCAAATTTCGGGCAAGAATATTGAAATTGGGTTAATTGGCACCGACCGGAAGTTCAGGTATGCTCTCTTGCTCCTATTGCACAGGTTTGCAATTATGCATAATTTTAGGAGCATTTATATATGTGCTACTCAATTCCTAAGTATTTACATATCTAGCACGTAAACTTTGAACTTTACATTTATGCCACCCACATCAGTCTTTCATCTCACATAAAAAAGTGAAATACACCTCATGCATAGATAAGGTGGTATATGTAAAAATTGACGTTCAGGTGTTAGATATGTAAATACATGGGAATTGAGCGGTGTTTATGGTAAATCTTCAATAATTTTATTGTTGAGTTGATTATAAATTGTGTGACTGGGCTAGCAATGGTGATGTTAAGCCAACGAAGGTTATCTTATAGTAAGCAGGTTGTAAATTTAAACTTAGCTGTTTGGATTCCTGGAAAATAGTGCCGATTACAACACCGTGGAGGGCACAAATACAATTTTATTGAAGATCAAAGAATCCTTGTTGTGGATGTTCCTTGGTTTAGATGGTCTTAATTTGATCTAAAGATCCTTGATTTGATTCACAGAAAATCTCTCTCAAGAAATTCATGTGAATTCATTTGTCCATTCTTCATGATGTGGACCTCTTGCGTTTGTTGTATCCCCCAAGGAATTATTGCCTTAGGAATTTCTATATAATTAAATAAAGAATAATACTAATAATAAATAACTAATAAAAACAGTTTTGGACTAGCTAGATTTGAGGTCTATATCGCATTCAATTTAGGCTTTGATCTTGGTTTGGTTTGTCAAGCTTGCCTCTAAAATGCAGGGTAAATATCTAATTTTGGTCTTCTATTGTTCATCCATTTGGTTTGTCAAGCTCAAAACCAAGACATAGCATGAAATTTTGTTAATTTAGAGGACCGTTTCTGTTGTAGTCGGTAATTAATGGTGGGAACGTGAAGGTAATTTACTTTCCTTCCCTTCATAAGCTACAAGTTATATGAAAGTGGGTTTGCTGAATCGCTCACTGAAAATCTAATGTTAAAAAGCTTGGCTTGTAATAGAAGAATCAGCAAAGCTTATTTAATTTTCAGATTTTATTTGGGATTTATTTAGCTCAACGAAATTTACATCTTTTACTTCAAAATTTCATTTTGGGATGTTTGATTCCAATATAATTAGTGTGGGATATGAAAGGTGAACAAATACGTTTTTCCTTCAATAAAGTTCCTTCCATTCAAGAAATAAAAACACAATACAAACAAGAAATAAAAAAAAAATATTATTCACTCAATTTCTCGTCATCAACCAAACAATCGTATGGAAATTTAATTTTGTTCAAATCTCTTCTATTTTTTAATGTTCATTTCTTCTCCTTCAATTCCTTCAAACTAACTATAGCTTTTATGTTCTCAGAACTCGTATTCGTTGAAATGTGTTCTGTTAATGGATCAATTATTTGTTTCATGAAAGCCATCCGAACCAAAACGCTAATCTCGTTATAACATTCTGTAATTTAAAAAATGAAAATATCATATGAAAAGAAATCGTGAACAAAAGAGAGCTATCATATTAGCTAAATCACACTATTAATCTATAGTTAAAAAAATACTTAGATTATTTCTGAAGAAAAGCTGTATCCGGAAAGCTGCTTCATGTTTTCACATATTGCTGTTGTAAAATTTGATGCCTAAATTTAAAAATTGCACTGTGAATGTTCATATATTGCTTTTCAAAATATTTGTCATATCTTTTATAAGGCTAAACCATTTTTTGCAGGGTGGTGTTTTAAATTTTCCTTTTTATTATTATTTTTTGTCGCAGGGTGCTGAGCGCGGCTGAAATTGATGATTACTTGGCTGAAGTGGAGTAAATCTCTGCTCTTTTTGGTGAAGATCTGATATAATAACCAAGAAGAAAAAATGCATTGAATTTTTCTCTGTTTAAGTGACCTAAGCCTATCTATTTCAATTAAACCTTTTCTATTCCTCCTTTTATTCGGTTAGAGGAACTTGCATTCTTGCATTGTTTTGACACCCTTTTTTTTGGAATTTCCTTGGAGCAGATAAAAAAATGCCCATTTTATTTTCAATATCTTATGCTAATCTTCTATTACTATTTTGAATATATTTTCTGGTATTTACATAGATACCATCCAATTCTTATATGTTTACATATCTAATACCCCAACTTTGCTTTTTTACATTTTTACCACCCAAATGCATAAATGAAAAAAATAAAGTTTAGGTGTTTGTTATGTAAATACATAAGAATTTAGTGGTATGCATTTAAATTTTCCATATTTGGATCGTCATCATTGTAATCACCCTAAACCCTAAACAATCTACTTAAACGAAGGCCTTTAAACTCCAATGTCAATGTAGGCCTCCATAATTCAAGTTTTTCCTGGGCTTTTTCTCTCGTTTTATCCACGAGAAGGATATCATCAGCAAAAAGCTACACCAGGTACATCTCTCCTGTAAATGTCCAATAAGACCATCCATAACTAAAGCAAAAAGATATGGCTTAAAGCCGATAACTAAAGCAAAAAGATATGGGCTTAAAGCCGATCCCTAATGTAATCCAACAGAAATAGGAAAATATTTAATTTATTATATATATAATTTAATTATATAATTATAAAATATTTAATTTCTAATTATATATATAAATTAATTTAAAATTATAAATAAGTTAAATATATAAAATTAAAATATAATATATTTATAAAACTAATAAATATTAAATTTACTAATTAAATATATAAATTTAATTTTATTATATAAGTTTAAATTTTATATATGTGTAACATATAAAGTTACTCATTGAAGTGCTGGCTTGCCGAGTGTCATTCATTTTGAATGTTTAAAATCCTCGATGATGTCTATGATTCATCTATTGAATATAAGAAATCTTTTAAAGTGGCCTTTTCGGCAATCTAATTCTCATTAATTGTCGACTTGCTAAATGAAATATAGCATTGTTTTAATGGAAGATTTACATGCAATGCACTCAATTCTTAATTATTTATAAATCAAACACAAAATCAGATTTGCAACTGACAAGCAGATGTCTAACCAACCAATTTGAATATATAGCGCATATATATATATATATATATATGCTATCTCACATATGCACATAAAAAATATAAAAGGTTTAGTGTTAAATATGCAAATAAATAGGAATTTGGTGGTATGCATGTAAATGCTACTAGAAACTTTATTGGTATTTGAGAACTAGTAAATAACACTTGATAAACAATCAATTTAGAAACTTTCTTGAAAGGTAAAGCTTGATTTAAAAAATATATATAAAAAATAAAATAAAATAGCTACATTTGTTATGACTTATATTGGACTAAGATTGAGGGCATCATGGAGAACAAGAAATCAAATAAATTTAGTCCATATTTGATTTGCTTGTTCACGACTCGCAACGCCTTCATTTATAGGCCTGATGAAACAATTAGGAACATGATCCCATTTACCAATACTCTTAATACTTTAATATGGTGTATTTACATACATACCACCCAATTCCTACATATTTACATATCTAACACCTAAATTTTACTTTTTACATTTCTACCAACCAAATTTTTCATATTACATAAAAAAAATATCACAATTTTAATTTTTAAAAAGTGAAGTACAACTTTCATACGTAGGTAAGGTGGCATTAATGTAAAAATCAAACCTTAGGTGTTAGATTTGTCAATACATAGGAATTGGGTGACATGGATCTAAATCTAAATTTAATTTCACCGGAGAAACATTTTAAACTAACACGAAATGCAAGCATATTAAATATTACATAAAGTTTAATCATCTAAGATTCACACCCGTTTAAACCAACTATGATTTCGTTTAACGACAAGAAGACATTTGAAGTTCAACTACGCAACTCAAGAATTTCACAAAAAGAATGAAATTTACTTCATGCATCGTGGGTGTCTTTATTCTATAAAAGAAAAAAAAATCAAATAATATCAATTGTTCGTATAAGCATCAAAATTTTATCAAATTAATTCGAGAATGCGACATATTCATGATCACACATCCACTGGCAGAAGCTGGGAAGGAGTGTATTCTTACCATATAAAGCTTCGGTAAAAATGCAACAGATTAGAGCTCCAAGCTTGCAAAATGGAGAACTCCACAATAAATGAGCTGAGCGGTTTCTCCTTAAGTTTTCCGAACAAGGAGTTGAACTATCTTTCCAAAAAGCTGCTTCAAGCGGGATGAACGAGTTATAAATGTTTGCAGTTACTCAGTCGAAGAGAGGCACTGAGTCCATGCAAAGATGGATAAGTTTTCGTTGATATTCCCCGTAAAAGTCGCTGACTGCATTCACATCATCATCATCTATATTCTTACATGGTAGAATGAATTTGGTTTCACCATCAACTATCCTATCAGATTGTTCGTCAGAACAGTGCGACTCAGAGCGCATTTGTGCATATATCTCGTGACAGGCAACCAAGAACATGGCGGCTGTGTCGGGAAGCTTCGCATCACGAAGTGCTGAGAATGCTTCATGCAACGCTCCCGCGGCAACGTAAAGAATCAAAGCCCTACAGGTATAGAATTTGGTTCGTTAGCTGATCTACAAAGAAATTGAATGAGTTCTTTATTCAATCAAAGAGACCAATAGTAAAAATTGTGCCCACCTCCATATGTCATGTTCATTATGCAGAACATTGTTAGCCCATCTTTGCAATACCCTGAAAAATGTTGACAAAATTTCAATTTCTTGGTGAAGAGTATGTTAATTATGACAAAAAAAAAAAAAAAAAGACAAATGAAAGAGTTCAACTCAATAAAAGGAAATAAGAACCAAGGAACCATGGGAGTTGCACAAATATCATAAATTGGATTAAACTTCAACAAAATTGATTATTACTTTTTTTTTTAATGGAGAAATTCATATTAAATTGCTATTTGTTTTGTTCATTAGGAAACAAAAAAGATGTTTGTTAGGAAATGATAAGAAGTTTTAATAAAGCTAACCACCCCGGGACTAATGATTTCATATCAAGCTAATATGAGAAGCGTTAAAAAAAGGATAAACAGGTCATTAAGAAATGTTTTGAATATCTTCATGAATTTCATATGAAGACATACTTTATAGTGAAGTCTTTGACATATCAGATGTCTAAGGCAGAGAATCAAAAGCCTAGACTGTTGTAAGCATCTTCCTATGCCAATGTGAAAACAAAAAGAGATTGCTAATAGATTTTATAGTTGGTTTGCCAAAATCTTAAAAACATTATGCTGCAATTTGGGTGGTGATAGATATACTCTGAAAAATAGTTCATCTTCTACATATAAAACAAAGTTGCCTCGTGCAAAAGTTGGCAAATGTCTATGTTGACAACATTATTTTATTAAATGTGATACAGATCATCATCATAGTTAATTGAGATATGAATTTTGCTTCTAGGTAATGGCATAAAGCGAAAGGATTTGGGCATAAGATTAGCTTTAATTAGCAAAATTCATCCTCAGACAAAATAGTCGTTGTAAACATTGGATGATTTTATAAAAGTTTATGCTCTTCATTTTGGAGGTAGTTGGGAGAAATATATTCGTATATCTATGAAAATAGGTTACAATATTGGTGTGACATTATATGAGCTCTTTATGACAAGAAAATATGGAGCAATAGCTAGTTAGAAAATGAACCGAACCAACCGGATAGCAAGCCTAACATAAAGAGAATGCATAATAGTCTATCTATGAAATTATTATATTTATGTAATTCATTTTAATTTTAATAAAAGTGCTTTTATTCATTAGTAAATGAATGAAAATATCTCATAACAAAGAATGTATATTATGAATAATGAAATAACTTTTTTTTATATGAATGCTTGTATATGCATGTTAAGATGAATTCACCCCCTAATAGTACAGACAGGGGATGCCAATGTACCGAAGTGCATAAAAGTTTTCTTATAATCACAGACAATTATGATGTTTCGATCACTAACTAATGTGCTGAGAAAGAATATCGGTCAGGGGAGAGTACACATTACCACCCCAGACAACTGTGATGTTTAAAACGCTAACTGTTATGCCGATAGAAGAATACCAGTCATGGGTGAAAAACACATTTCCACTTCAGGCAATCGTGTAAATTAGATCACGAATTGCTATGCCGACAGGATAATATCGGTCAGAGGTGTGTTAAATTATGTTATGATGTTGCTCCTGAAACAAATGTGAATGTTAAAAGTATAAAATAAAAGTGAAATTAAAGTTAATGTATATAGAAATTTAGATTATTTTCATTCAGTAAATGTCATGAATACATTAGATTATTATATGATTTTCTAGAATAAAATATGAAAAACCAGCATGCATATTTTTTCTCTTCCTTGGGTTACTATAGTTTAGAAATGTGATTGCTCTTGATTTATCTTTAGACAACTAATTATGTCGTTTTAATATCGTTTTCAGGTTTAAAGCTTTTGAATTAGATGAATTAAAGAGGAATCAATATATATAGAAGCCGAAGTCAACAATCAGAAAGGTAAAAGTTTGAGTTATAATTTTAGTGGCTCTGACATGAATATTTGAATATTAAATGGTTACTGATAGATATAGAATGATAGAAAATTTATTTCCATCATCCGACCGTCCATTCATGTCTAAATAAATCCAAGCCTCAGGCATGACCGTGACAATCAATCACTCCAAACCATCAAAAAATGTACTCTGCGTCAATTACTTAATCATATACTTCTACAGATTTCAAGGAAGTAGCACATCATAAGGATAATTTTTCAAAATGTTGATCTAAATCTTATTCTACATTAGATCACCCATCAGACAAGATTGTCACTCTAGTCTAACCCCAATTCATTTGAATATACTCTATGCCATTCTGTTGATTACTCAACTACTACAGCTTATATCCTCAAATCGTACATGGATGGAGGTTTCAAGCCTCAACCATAAGCACATATGAAACATATCCTATAAAAGAAGAGGAGGTTGGAAACATTGAATGGAATGAAATTTTCATTAAAAAATCTCACAATATTCATGCAAATAAGTTTGAATGCTTTACTAGCATGCTCTAAATACATTTTCTGAGTTACAGTTGCCCCCTCTCTATGACCTATATGTTACTCCACATTTACAATATAATAATCCATAGGATTACTTACACTTCTACTAGATATTGGTGATAAAGATGATGAATCCCTAACACTTCGCTCACTCCTATAATAACAACTAATATCAACTATTTCATCAATTTATCGAAGTGGAAGATGCTTTGACATCGCCCTTTGTTCATATACAATCAAACCTCTTTCACTACTTCTAACGCTTTAGCAAAAGATGCAACATTCTTGTGCATGCCATGCCACAAACATGCTCCTTCATTCTTGTAGTTGTAGCACCCTTTTTAATTACCTTCTCGCAATGATTTCATTTTATAGAAATATGCCATATCATTGTCTCCTATGTTGATTTACAAACCATGCCTCCATGCTCAATGCTCGTAATGACCTATCGTGAATTTCTCCATGCCTATAACAATTTCTTACAAAACCCTAAATTAAAAATTTTGATTCAAATAAAATGGAAAATATGTAAATATGTAAAGAAATTTTAAAAAATTAAGGATTAAAGGTTGTTACCTTATAGAAAAATTGTTGGTGGGGACGGTGGAGATAATTGTGGAAGAAGAAAATAAGTTGATAAGGGGGCGGTAATAGTGACAACGACAACAGTAGCAATAACATACGGCAACAGCAAAAAATGGCAGTGGCAAAAGCAGCAGACGGCAGCGGTGATGATAGAAGAAGCAGGCGGCGGCGGAGTTTGGGACAGCTGGCTTATGTGAGAGAAGGAATTGGAGTCATGAAAATGCATGTCATAAAAATAAATGATAATCATGATAATACAACACTGAACTTCTGTTTAAGCTAAAGGATCTAATGATCACTAGTTATTTCAGGAAACTGAGCTCATGAGCCATAATAAGCATCAAAAGATATCCAGGAAAACAAATACAGCAGTTTTTAATGATGATTTGGAATAATACTCATATTTGATAGCTTAGACAGCCAACCTCGCATAGTCCGATCCATGCAAATGGGTGGAAGCTAAAGTTGCAGCATCGATCCAGCATCCAGCATCTTGTAACTATGACATGCAACAGCACATCATTAACACAGGAAAAAGGGGAAAAAACATAAATGTTTAGCAAAACTAACAAATTAAAATAATTATGTTTTCGTAAATAAATGGTGAATTCATGCCAACAACAAATAAATAAATAAATAAATAAAGCTGATGGATTCAATTGATCAGCATATAAAATAGGAGATATTATTGTCAAAAGCATATTTTTATAGATGCTAACCATGCTTCATATCAGAAATCATTCTAGTAGAACAGTAATATTATTACTCTTCAACCATCTCAAACCAAAAGGCAAGAAGATGATTTATGAAGATTGCGGTAAGAATCTGAACATTTCCAATCATTTTGTTTGACCCCCTTCTTTCCCATTCATTTTCTTTTTTCATCGAAATCAAATTTCACCATTCTAAAGCAATGAAGATTATGAGCTCCTTTACCAAGTACTGTTTAAACTAGACGTGAAAAATACAAACCATAGTCCTAGTCCTCCTACATGTCTACCACACTGACTGACAAGTATTCTTATTCACTTGTGGATGGAAGGAGACAATTGACACAGTTGAAGAAGAAAAAGGCAAGTTTATATTGTACAGAACAGTCACTCATGTTAATCAAATACAATCCCGTAACATTTGCCATGGAACTGGCATAGCAAGGAAGGATCAAAATACAATGAAACAAAAGGGACAGCTTTTAGAAATAACCATAAAAAAATTTAAAATCATGTCTATAAATGTGAATTTGGAATATAGATCGTACCTGAGAGCAAGCTTCCTGATGTCTGCCAACAGCACAGAGAAGGTGAGTCCCTGACAATGATTTGTCAGTCCTAATCATATTGGCTGCAACAACCTGTACTAAGAATTAATTTAAGTACGTAAGTACTCACTCAGTTGTCTATAAAAAGAAATACATTTACCAAACTGATGAAGTTTGCAAGGTTTCATTTGTTTGGTCTAATGTAATTAGAAATCAGCATTGATTTAAAACTCTAGAAACCCAACCAAAAGGTTTTTTATTTTCACAAACAAAACAGTGAAGGCGAAAACATATTGAGATTGCCAAAATGCGCCAAAATTTGGAGGCCTTAAATTATTATAGAATGCTCTGAGAAAGTCGGGCCGTCTCCAAAAGTCTGACCAGACTCCATCATAACAGTGGCAGACACTGCCAAAGAGCAATCTCAAAGCAGGAAAGAAACCTATCATTAAACTCACACCAACTCAACCAAAATATTTCATTTTCAAAATCACAAATAAAAAAATAAACGTAACAAAAAAACAGAGGTCATCTAACCAAAGAAACCCTCCCTGAAATATAATACATCATACTAAGAAAGTAATAAGAGCTTGTAAACTTTAACTTACAAAGAAAATGCGCTTTTGAAGATGGAGTTACCAAAATAAATAAATAAATTATAATAATAAAAACTCTCAGCAAATATATGTATTGATCCCCGGGAAAAATATTATGATTTATAATTTTGGAAAAACTACAAGGCTTTACCTTCACAGCAAGCTCGTGCAAAGAACTTGAGACAGCAGAAGACAGTGCTACTGCGCGCAGAGCATTTGGATAGAAATTAGATCCTTCTGGAGGGGTTGAGAGCAGTAAAGCAACAGCGCCTTCCAAGTCTCCAACGGAGATAAGCCTGAGAAGCAAAGATATACCAAGCCTCTTAGAACAGTATTCAAAATTATATTATATCAAACATGAATACAAGCACAAATCACCATCACCAGTATTCCATCTAAGAGGACAGATTAAAAGAAGTCTTCTTCATTAGTTTTTCTTACAATGTAAACCTAAACTGATCTTTTTAAACAACTTTTAACCATATTAGTTGATGCATAACCTTTTCCTGCCTATCAATTGAATGTATTCCACAACAAAAACAAGCATAGAGGTGTCAAAAGAGCTTGATGTTTGCATAAAAAATGTGTTTGCCTTGATTAATCATGTTCAGATCATTCACAAAGCGAAAAAGTTGAGCTTGATCATGATTTAGAGGCCTTAATATTAAAGATATCAGAGATGTTAATTCTCTGTTCTCAGAAAATGGATCTGGAAGCCATTACGCCCTTATGATTCTTCTCTTGTGATTTTTGCCATTGTTATGGAAAGTAGTAGATCTGATGGTTGTATATTAGGAAGCTTGATTATAAAAAATCTAATAAATAAGTAACCTAATTAGAGGAGATCTAATTGCACGACCTTTCCTCTATTAGAGATTTTCCTAATCTATAGGGATTGGAGCGTATATAAATATGTAACATATGTTTTCATCAGTTGAATAAGAGAAAAAAGGAGTTTTCCTTCACATGGTAACAGAGCCACACATGACTTCATCTACTTCGCCTTCATCCTACAACAGGATTAGGGAATCATTCTTCGTTCGACTTCATTTGCATCGTTCGGCTTCGTCTGCGTCGCTCCTATTTGTCCTCTTTGTCTATGTCCATCAACGTTGTCTGCTTCGTCTTCATCCTGATCGACAACATCTAGTTAGTCTTCATCCAAATCAACATTGATTGCTTCATTCGACTTCGTCATTCAACTTCGTTTTCTTCATTTATTTTTGTTTGTCTTTGAAGATCGATGAATTTTTCGTCAAGTCGCTTGCTCCTACCACTCGATATCAATCGTCTCACCATCCGGCTCATCCTTTGGTATTGATTTAGTCTTCTTAAATATTTGGTGATAATCATGGTCATGAAATAAAAATGTAGTGACAAGTTTGGTTTCATCAATAGCTAAAGTTACGGATGAAAAATTAAATGACGTTAACTATTTTTATTGGAATAAAAGTGTAAGGCTCTACTTAAGAATAATTTCCCAAGAGAGAGTCACCTCATTGATAATCCCCCATTCAGTCTCTTATTAAGTGGATGCGAGTTGATGCCCAGTTGTTGATACAAATACGTAACTCTATCGAACCTAATCAATCTGGTCATATTACTCATTGTGACTGTGTTAAAGATGCGATAGAAGAATTGACATCTGTGTTTTCTGAGATATTTTTTCTCAAATCTTTGATGTATGAAAGGGGTTCCATCGAGGTGAACAGCATGATTAATCATTTAACACATACCACATGCATTTTAAACGTGTTTATGAAGAATTGAATGCACTATTGACATTCAGTACTAATGTCAGGATTTGACAGGCTCAGAGAGAGCAAATGACTATTATAGTTTTCTAGTTGCCCTAAATCTCAGTATAAATGTGTCAAATCACGGATCCTATCTCACTTTGATGTTACTACTCTAAGAGAAGCATATACTAGAGTATTGTGTACTACTCCGAGTTCTTATGTTTCATATGCATTACAACCTAGTGCTCTTGCTTACCAAAAATATAGAGATCAATAAATTGCAGTCTCAGGGCAATTAAATATTGAAAATCAAGGCTCGAGGGTAATTTGCTACTACTACTATGAACCTGGTCATACGAAGAGAACGTGTCAGAAGTTGCTCCAAAAGAGCAAAAGGGTTCTAGGTCATAGTCAGCTCACACAATCACTCATAATGAAGTCTCCCAGAGTTAAATTCTCTCGATTTCTACAAATGGATATACTAAATTCATCCAATTTCATGAAGCATCCAAGAAATCTTTCTCTATCACTGCCCTTGCTAAGTCAGGTAATAATAATACTTGTTTTTTTCTTTTCCAAACAATGGGTCAATGATCCTGGTGCCACAAATCACATGATAGATTAATCTATTTCCCTCCTTTCATAAATATTTTTCTTCTATCACCTTAGCAGATTAATTTGTCTTCCAACACCATTAATTTACACCTAAATTACCTTTAACGATTGTCCTTAGGTATTCAATTCTCTTTTAATCTTATCTCTTTTAGGAAGATTACACGTGTTTTTTGTTCGATAATTCTCCTATACAAGGCATAATCATCAAGACATTTCTATGAATAAACGTCATACATGCCCAACTGCAACAAATAACATGTGAGGGTGTTGAAATATTTAGTAGCACTCATCCTCTTGTCCTAGATCATGTAGTCTAATCTCATTCTCAAATAGCTCTGAAAAAATTTCCGTGCAATAATAGATATCACGAGCAACCTCCCATATTTTTTTGCCTATCCTATAGAGTAGAAAGTTTTCTCCTATCTCTGTGATCATGAAATTTATTAACCATGAAATAACCATGTGGTCGTCAATTTTCTAGGCCCAAAATTTGGATCTGTAATTTTTAGCATAGAAATTTCGCCTATGAGCTGCCCATGTTTCCCTCTGTCACAGATGTACAGGAAAAATGATTGTGACCATTGAAGAAAATTATGACTATTTTTTTTATGATTCGTGACTAGGTGAGAGGAGTTATCAAGTATGACAGAAACTGAAAAGTATAAGATCAGATCTTGAGGTGACTTCCGAGAAAGAAGATTGTTAGGCTATATCGTGTTTGGCCATGATAAGTTGTTAAGCTTGAATCTAGATCATATGTTGCACGAACGAAAGCTAGAGGAGGTGATATCGGAAATAACTCACACAACAATAGAAAAATCAAATATTATTGTTGAATTCAAAACGGGGAAATAAAATCTCACAAGTAAAAATAAAAATAGCAACACGACAAACTAGATGGGTCTCAAGGTGGTGGTGGTGATGGCTAGAATGAGTAGGATGGTGGCTAAATCTCAAGCAATTAAATCTATAATCTGCTTCTCTCACTCCATATACTCGGCTGAGTGTATCTGATAAATAAGTCTGTAAGGAAATATGAACTCTGTAACAAAATCTATGGCAGACTAGACTACACTGAATGGTAACCACTCAGGAGAGGATTTTTCATCTTTGAAAAGATCTAGATCCCATTTGAGGATGTTCTTTCCGCAAAAGATCCAAAAATGATTCTCAATGTTGTGGTTCATCAATCTGCCTGATTATATGTTAGTGAGTACACTACTGAATTGATTTTAATACCCAAATGACTATCTATAATCTTCTAAAAGGGTGCAAAAGAGTCTCATCTCTGACATATTGGACCTCCCCTAGTAAGAGAAACTCATAAAGTAGATTATATCTCTGAAAAGTTTGAAATTATCTTATCAGGGGTTACCATGAGTCTGGTGTTGATTCCTCAAAATTATGACTGTCTTGGACATCCAATATTAATTATGTTGGAGTCTTTCTCATGGGCTCAGTTTGAACTACGTATTTTTCTCCATCATCAACTGAAATATGGCACTCTTCCTTTGTGTCATCACCTTTTTCAGTGTGTACTATGTAATTGCTCATTTCTTCAAACTGCTCCTTGACCAATGAAAAATATCATTTTTCTGGTTGGACAATCTAATTCAATATGCACAATTCTATAACACTTTAAATGCTTTCTAGCAGGAACAAATTTGAGAATGCAGATTGGTTCACCTATTCTCGACTCTGAACTAAAGTCTCCTCGAGCGGGGCCAGCTTGAATGCTCTGCTGGCTCTACTCTTGCTACTTGATCCTCAAGTTGAATTATACCTGCAAAATATTGTGATCATCCAGTGATATTGCCTCTCCACTTTTGAAGCTCGGGTATGAATATTCTGTATGTAATGAACTGGTATGTATTGACGTTGAATTTCTCGTTTCATCTTAAAGACTAGATAGTAATTTTACTTTTCTCGTCGTCAAAGAATTTTAATGTTTGCCCACCACTGAGAAGTATTCTTCCACAACTTACTAGCAGCTAGTTTCATCATCATGGCACTCTAAAACACATTATAATAGCAAGACCCACTCGATGAACTCGTCTGGATCCATATGATTGTCAAAAAATGACAAACTCACCTTTACTTCAAAATCCTAATCTCTTCAATATTTCATGCCATATCTTCAGGATAATGGTTTTTCATCTCGGAGATCGAATGGAATTTTTTGTGGCCTCTCTAGATGGTCTCCTCTCAAAGGCAGTGAGCCTCTGGTGCAGTTTGGGGGTTTTTTACTGCATATCATCACTAGAAATCTTCTAGATACATTTTTGTGGATTTCTCAAAGGTGGCATGGCTAGGGTTTAGGGATAGAGGGGTGGAAAGGTGTGTAGGGATGATTTAGGATGAGAACAATTTTTTTTGGGTGGCCGATTTGAAAAAAAACAGTAAAGAGAATGGCTCAAGATGGAGATAGGGATGAGTATTGGTGGATGCGAGAAACCATAGGATAAGGATAGAGTTAGGTTCGCTCTGATAATAACTGGTATTGCAGTTAAGTCAAACAACAATGAAAAAATAAATATTATTGTTGAATTCAAAATTAGGAAATGCAATATCACAAACATAAGTAGAAATAGCAACAAACAAGACACAACAGACTCAAAATAAGGTGGATCTCGAAGTGGTGATGGTGATCAACGAGGCTTTAGTCCTCCAGAGAGATAACAGAGTGGGTGATGGGTTGGATGGTATGAGAAAAGCAAAAGTGTGTTGGTAAACACGAGGGGAAGTTGCGAGCTGCAGGAACAACAAGAGCGAGTTATATTGTAAAATGGTAACAAGAAAGAGGGGGTGGACAGAGGGGCACCGATTAAGAAGGACTGTCCTGGGTTGTGACAGCGAGGGAGGAGAAAGGTGGCAGCGAATGAGAGGAGTTACGACAATGGCAACAAGTCGAAAAAGAGAGAAAAGGATGGTTGGATGGCTGG